AGGACGTCGAATATCTCAGTACTCTGTCAGTTTTGTGCCTAGTTATTGCACTTTCTGACTGTATAATTATAGTATCCAGTTACATTGATGGAGAGTTACTCTTAACTCGTATCCATATGTCCTTTTCTTTTCTACATTTATTGATGGCTCAACATCCGAGTTTCAAATAACACTAACACTGGTGGTGTTAGTGGACATTATAGCGGTAACTTGTAGTTCCTTGATCCTTTTTCTTTTCTATAAATTAATAGTTGGCTCTCCATCCGATAATTATTTGAATTGGTTATTTCCCACCAACACTTATTTTTATCTGCTGAACAACAAAAAGCTGTGTCATCAGGTTCGAATGCAACGATGAGCTGGCTCTTGCGATGCTCGCCAGCAGTAGCCTACACACCCAGGTAATCACAGAGCAACGTTCCTAGAGTTATCTGGACGGAGAGTTCAGGAAGAAGCACATCCACCAGGGACAAGTTTAGGTAGTGATTGTATACAATGAACGCATGAGGGCAGTGGCGTAACCCGCACGCAATCAACGATGCCCCCCTCCCCCGCGAGCGCTTAGCGCAATGCGAAAAGGACGCTCAGCCACACAGGCAACAGCTGGATTGAGATAAACAAGTATGTCAAACACTCCACATTATATTGACTGCTAGAGGAAAGTACTAAACTTACGGATAATGCGGACAGTGATATTGACTGAACTTGAAAGTAAACCCACGGAGTTTTGATTGGTTGCTTCACACACGTACACGCCAGTGTGAGTTGAATCCGCTGATGCTACAACCAGAGCTGTCACCTTGCGGTCAGTCATTCCATTGTTAGTGGGTGTTGCAGCTTGATATTGGGGCAGCAACGAGGACCTTGTACCACTGGGACTGACCAGGTCAAGCACAGTCAGGTCGGGACGGCTGGACACATAGACTGTCAAGAAGAACCTGGAACCCTCAACAACAGCAAGTTCACGCTCAGTGTTAGAGAGGTCGGGTCGGAAATTTACGGCTACAACGAAAGTGGATATAATAGGGACAGTGTTCGCTTCATTCGCAGCGCGGCACACATAAACGCCAGATGAATTCCGGACACTGGGAATTGGGAAATATACTCCTCTGGCATAGGGGCTTGGTCGGAATGTACGTGTGCGACCATCATCATAAGATATTTCCAGTGTTACCGTGTTCCTTCTTGGCTGTCCAGTATTAGGAAAACAGACAACTGGTCGGATGGGTGATCCTTCATCGAAAACATGTGGTATAGTCAGCTGATGTCCCAGTCCAGTCATACCTCCATCAACTGTGTTTATCCCTAGAATTGGCTCTGCAAGAAACAGGATACAGGATACAGGGAGCACAATTTTTGTGGTATATGCATGAGCATGGTGTGATGTGCGACGCATATTATGGTATGTGGTGTATGCTGGAGACGCGTCGTCAGAGAGTGAGAACCTGCTTCCGTTTATTTGAGAGTCATTGTCAAGTGAGTGTCGTGCCTGCATAGTGCTAGTTTGGTCTAGGAGAGAGAATGATGAGTGATTCGTCCGTGGTCTCATTGTCTTGGTCTTGGTCATGTGTTTTGTATGTTGTACGCATCACTATGGGATTATGTTTGATGGGTATAAGGGCCGAACAATGTCTAGCAGCATCTTCGAACCAAGACCATTCAATTCAGCATCCAGAGGACTTCTGTGAGAATTTCATCTTCGTCCATGCATCTATGAATGAATTGGTGCTTTCAGGAATTGTTTTTGAAAATGACTTTCTAGTATGGCGCACTCAAATTTTGGGGAAGCGTGCGACTTCGGTTGGCAATAAATGCATAGGACAAAGGAGCGTCCAGCTTTCACGGACTGTCACCTTTTAGTCTCAACACTCAGAAGACTAAGCTAGTGAACATTATACGTTAAGCCATACTGTGTGTTCTGTGCGAGCCATACTGTGTGTACTGTGTAAGCCATACTGTTTTACTGTGTAAAACGCTCCCACTTAGCACGGAGACTCTACTTGCTTCATTGATACCATCTCCAAGCACATTTTTATGTGTCCTTCAAACCAGCATCTCCAATCATCCAGACAACACTGGCAAACACGGCTGGCGTTCATACTTGTTTTAAGATTTACTTTCAAGAGATCTCTTTTCAGCACATAATCACATACATGTAGTACAAAATCTCTGACCAACCATTTCATCACCAGCATCCCTGATGATAGTGTCTATTACTTAAATTCGAATCATAATAATTATGAACTTAGATGATTAGCCAAGGAAAAAAATTGGAAAATGGAAATAGGAGGGCGCAAGTTATGGCATCAAATCCAGCAACTAAACCAGATTTTGAACAGTCAGACGTGCACAATCTAGCACAAAACTGACAAGGAGTACTGAGACATTCCACAGCATGAGAGTCAGCTTGAGCACTGCTCGATAGACTGTTCAAAATCTGGTTTAGTTGGTGGACTCAATCGCATAACTTGTGCCCATATTTTTCCATGTTACAATCATAATTATTTCCGGCGTTCGTGCATTTTTACTTACCGGTGCGTAGAATGGTATAGTGATTAATTTGACGTGTTGCTACTGGCCCACACGCGTAGGCTGCTCGCACTCCGTCATAATTGATAATGTGAAGCTGGTAGATGAAGAAGCTGCTTGAATTTGAAATCAAACGCTGGTACACAGTTTGGGTTGGATCAGAAGCATCATAGAAAGGAACCAGTCGCGGTGCACTAACGCCGCCAAAACCGAGGTATACAAATCGTATCGCATTCGGATCGGTAGTGTTGCATGTCACGGCTGTTACATTGGTGTGAAGAAAATGGAATTCTACCAGAAAATACACAGCAACAAAGTTCAGACACAAAGGCTAAGTCACGTGATGCTCGTCGGGTAACATTACCGTTTCAAGCGCACTTGCCTCAGCATACTTTTCTTCCATTTAAAATGAAACAACACATGTCTGTCCGTCAACCTCATCCATGTCCTTGATACTCGCCATAGGAAAACAACAAGGCACATTGCAAAGATGCCGAAGCACCTGAGAAATGGCTGAGAGAACTGTGGGAACCTTTTTGCTGCTAACAAAGATGAGCATTCGCAGTCAATTTGAAATGAATTGGTTGTTGATTGTGTTTACTTGAGTTTGCAAACCGAATGGCCTATAGATCCAATGATAAGGAAGCAAATGAGGTTCCCTGACATAGGAAAACTTGAAAAGGAGACGACAATGAAAAATATCCGCTTATCAAAAGGAAAAAAGAGACGAATAAGAAATACGAAATAGTAGTTGCGACTTCGGCCATGATTGTTAGGAAATGGGTTGCTCCCCACACTGGAGTTCGGGCTATTCCGACGACTTTACTTGACACTTGACTGACTCACGACTGCCATGGTGCTTTCTTGCAGCTTTGCCGAGTCGAAGGCTCGATGGACTTCTGGTGTGCTCTGGATGGCAGTCGTGAGTCAGTCAAGTGTCATATCATGTAAAGTTGGCGGAATAGCGCGAGCTTCAGTGTGGGGAGCAAACCCTTTCCTAAGAATACGAAATAGCTAAGAATAATGCACACGCTCATGTCACAAAACAAAATAGCAATGGTTTTGTTCCAGAACGTTTTCTTGTCACATTCATCTATGGAAGCTATCTGCGCATTGACTAAGAATAAGAAAGTGCTCAATAACATGAGAGTAAGCAGCAACTTAGAATAAGAAAGCCTTTTTGAATTTCTCATACAAATATTTGAAACCGGTGATGGACAAAAAGGAACGAAGATAGAAATAAGAGGAACGTTGCAAAAGAGAATAGAGACAATATAAGTTTCGCACAACGCACATAAGGTAGCTCCGTGGTACTGATAAACAAAATTGCAACCCAGAGGCTATTTAAAAAGATACTAACAGGTATGACGCTAGTGACAAAAAATGGCAAACCTTTGGCAAGGGATGGCGAACAACAATATACTCTACTAGTTAAACAGTTTGAATAATACGATCACTTTGAACACACAAGTCAGGCTTATCAATGCGTTGACACACAGCTTCTAACACTTCCACCTGCAACTTGTCACCATAACGTGCACGGCACAGAACAGAAAACCAGGAATCAGAATACACTAGGCAACAGTCAGGACAAGATACCAGTTGGTTATACACAGAAGACTATCTCCTTCCACACGGTTCACATGGGAAAATGAGCGCTCCAGTGTGTTTTCCTTTCTTGATTGTACTGTAGCGGACATGGAAATCCAGTCGATTGACCTGGGCCGGCGCCTCAGCGCGTACAGAAAGCTGCGTGCAGTCCACAAGTCAAGATCCGATGAGACCAGCGCGCTGCAGCGCATAAATGCATGTGTGTACCGCTTGTCCACGGCTGCATGGCCAGCGCCCTGGGGCCGCTAGCCGTGCGACCAGATTTCCATGTCCACAACACTGGCAACAGTACTCGAAAAGAAAACTGTCGGGGAACTGACATCTGTGTATCATAATTAAAGGGGAAGTTCACCCTAAAATCAAAATTTCACAGTTTGTAGATTTCGAGGCGCTGAGTTCGGTGGTGAAGGTCCCATCGCCGTGCGATACGCCGTTCTGGAGATATTTGAATTTGAAATTTACCATGACGTCATGCAAAATGACGTCATGCGGCCGGCGCACACCCCCTCCACACCCTGTGACGTCAAAGAGATACAGGTTCCCGGTCTGCTTGCTTTTCAGTGAGCGAGAAAGAGTGGCGTTTGTGGAGTTTCTTTCTTGCCACCTGAACAGTTTCAACCACGATGACGGTTTGCTGTGCTGTCGGCTGCTCTAACCAGTCTGGTAAGCCCCCTGGGACCACGGTGCATCGTATTCCGCGGGATAAAGCTCTCCGAGCGGAATGGGTTGCAGCGATTCACCGCGAGAAGTTGCCACCTTGTAAGTTTGAGGAGAGCTGTGCAATTTGTTCGGCACATTTTGAGGAGATGCCTTCCAGAGGAACTTGCACGGAGAGATGGGCAAAACGTGCCGCCGAAAGCTGAAAGCAGATGCTGTGCCATCGATTTTCCCGGACAGGCGTCCCCCAGCGAAGCGAAGGATGTCGCAGTATCAGGAGAGGCAGGAGAGAGAAGAGGTGAGTGAATGGTTCTGGTGATTTCGTGCTTTGAGAGCGTGTTGAAATTTTGTCTGTACATCGCGAGTTGGAGAGGGCAGTTTCATCTACTGTGTTGAGTACATCGTATACTTGTAGAGAAAATTATTTACAGATACCGGTACAAAGCTGTTTGCAGTTTGTTGATTGCAAGGTACTACAGTGCATTTCAAAACTATAGACGCGTAGGGTTTTTGAAATATTTCAAATTTGGCTGGAACTTTTTGAGAATAGTTTTCGGAATATTGCTCAGGATCGCTCCACAATTACTCTCATATAGTTTCTAAAGGATTGGATAACAGACGCCCAATTTGGAAAAAATTATGCACAAAGTGATCACAGATTTTATGTGGTATAGATGCTGGCATAACGGTTTTTGCCTAGGTACGCGTCTATAGTTTTGAAATGGACTGTAGTATTGAATGAAGACAGAAGATCGTGCAATATATTTTTGTTTTATTTCAATTCAAGTTTTACATGTCGTGAAAAGGCATACAGTGGTCACTAGCTCAGTCCTCTGCTTGGTAAGTTTCAAATCCAAGAAAGTCTTTATTGTGTTGCATTGTCACTGTTATCTGCGTGTATTTTGCGAGTATGATCCTAGCTCAAGCCTATGCTGAGCCGTATGCCGCAGCTTTTCGGTCTCCAGTTGCATGCGCATTGAGTCCAGACGATGGCATGATATCTGCTGATGCGTGCACACAGACCCCCGTCAGCACACGGGAAATTTAGAGGTGATGTTATGGTACCCACTGTGTAGATCAAATCCACACGTACATATGCTTGCAACACTGGCAGTACATTTTCATGACTATTCTTTTGCTATAAACACACACACACGCGCGCGTGCGCACGCGCGCGCACACACACACACACACCTTTGACGCCAATCGCCGGAGGCAATGATGGCAATGCTACGGCAGAAGCCATAGCAACTTGTGCTGGAATTGCACCATTCAACAGCTTGCAAGGCTGAAGAATTGACCGTCACAATTCAGCCTGGTCTACACCATACAGCTACACACACACACGTGCAAGCACCTGGCTGACTACAAATAGTGACAGCTTATGATTGCTTTGCCGTTTGTCCATTATGCAGGTGTTCCACCGGACTCCTCGGCCAAGTTTTCCGAACATCAGCCATATGTATTGTCGGTATGCTGAGTAACGGTGCGAGCTGCTTTGGGGAACAGGGGAGTAGATCTTCCTGCTGTTAGTCTCACATGTCAACGTACATTTCAGTGCAACAGCAGCACACTACAACAACACATTTTTGAAGAAGTATAAATAAGCCAATATCCTGGTTATATTTTTGCACCATGGAACAGTATTTAATTTTGATGAGAAAATTAAAATACAGTTCTCCGATGCAAAATCGACGACAGTATTACACTATTAGCACGTACCGGTTTCCAAACTCAGATGGCTTCGATCCGGCCTGCTGATGGATCTTGCCCAAATAGCCACGCAGTACAATGTACAGTGCGTGCTGGTTGCTGCAGCCTTCCTCGAACTGTGAGGTGCAAGTAATGCAGCCAGACTCTGTAACCAATCCGCGGCTGCCGATTCCGGAACATCTTTGCAGCAAATGCAGTCGTTCCGCAATAATTGAACGACGCATTTGCCACATTCACACCAGGACGTATTGCCAACGCGATCGGCAGGTGGTCAGCAGTCCTCTAAGCAAGCAGCAGGGTCAGTGTCGGCAGCAGCCGCTGCAGCTTCGTCAGCATTTACACCAACTTGCTCCGCACTCGCCATCTGCATGATCTCATCCTCGGTATACTCCGGTTCCTTCGCTGGCGTCCAACTCGCTCTCCTCGGAGTCACTGTCATCTCCTGACAAGGAGGTAGACCTACCCTGAATCGTCTCCGCTCTGAGCCTCATACTGCTTGACTTTCCGCCTTGGACATTCACGACTTCACTTTCTTCTCCGTCCAACTCCAAGTAAAAGTTCCGAGCTCCAGGAGCTCCTCTATCTCTTTGACGTCACAGATTCGTGACGCCATGGCGGCGCCAAAAACCGGGGATCAAAGTGATATTTCAGTTGCGTATATCTCCGGTTATAGTCACCGGATGAAGACGAGACATACACCAATCGACTCAGCTGATTTTTCCCAATAACATATCTAATTTTGATTTTAGGGTGAACTTCCCCTTTAAACCGACGTTTCCTTGCGAGTATTATGGTCTACGACTTGTACTGTTTGTCCCAGTATTAACGGTCAACTTATAATCCAGAATCTCGATCCAAACATTTTCACCTTGTAAACTGGCTGATGAACTTTAGTTTCTTACTTTGCACAGTTTGTCTTTCTCTTGAGCTTCCACACAAACTTTGATAATAATCAGTGCCATGCTCGCAGTGACCATGGACAAATGATGTTTTTGATTTGCTAAGCACTGCTTGAAGGTATTTGAATTTTACTTGGGCATTATGGGATGGTCTCCATGATCTAGAAACAGAGGGTACCAGGCTCAAGTCCTGCTTGAAAGCAGAAGGACACCACAGGGAACTCGTGGCCTGGCTAGGATTTTCTAATCGGCTTTTCGATCGGCTAAGAAAATGTCCAAATTCGGCCATATTATGAGCCCCAAAGTCAGAATTCGGCTCAAAGCAGTACTTGAAGTTAGCCCTTGGCGGATTATGCCGGCATAATATTAATTTTGGCATAATCTTGGGATTTCGTCAAAAAATTATGCTCCAGCATAATTATACGGATTCCAACGTGTAAGGTCGGCATAATCTTTTGGTTTAGACAAAAATTAGTCTTAGGGGCATAATACAGCTTTGTCAGAAAGCCTGCAGATGGTTTTTTTTAATACTCCAGCTACGACTCCTTGTCATAGCCCTTGGCGTAGCAGCTGGGGTGTTTCTGTTAGGCTATAGCAGACTCTGAGATCAGAGTGCCGCGCCACAGGTGCCTTGTAGATAATTTCTCAGTCTCCCGGCACGAACAATCTACAGGTTAGTCTGATTTTGAGCGCCAGTTACATGGTGGGGTGTTAGCAGGAGGTACGCATTCTCGATTGCTGTGGCTGTTGATGATTGTTGCGACGTTCGGCATGCAGCTGTGGCTTACTTTTAGTGTATTTGTGAAAGAACGTGTGTAGTTTGCTTCAAAATCTACAGGGCAACTGTTGAGTGGCATTCTGATCCTGATAACCGACAGGAGATCTTGCTTCAACAATAAGTCATAGCATCTCACCATGAAGTGGTCCACCACCAGGTAGTTGTGCATGAGCACAGAGCATAATGCTCAGGCTCAGCAGTAGAACAGTTGCGTGTGTGATGGAAGCTTGAACCATATTCGCCTGCTTCTTTCCAATAGATGGGTCAGATAAGTATGGTGCTGAGAGGATGCCGTCACTGGCTGTAGTGTGTAGAAACATAAAAGAAGTGACAATGTCATAGCAATTAGTAACACATTTTCTTAATGTGCGCAAGCTCCACTGCAGCCATTTCATTACTTGAAAACCCTACACACACCATCCTCAAATCAAGTGGTCTCTTCGCTGCAAATTACACTATCTCGATCTCAATCAAATTTTCGATTTGATTGAAATAATGTATTATTGTAATTTGCAGCAACAAAATGTTACGATTTATGACAAACTGTCCACCAACGTAACCAGAATCATATACGTTGTCGTGGGGTGTAGCTCGTGCTCTTCTTCGTTGCGCTTTCTTTCCCCTCTTGGACCTTTCCAACTAGGAGCCTTCCAAGTTGGCAGGTTGTTGCTTTGCGCCTTAGAGAAGTGTTGGAGCTAGGCGTCAGGTAGCTGAATGTCTCAGTACTCCTTGTCAGTTTTGTGCCTTTTTGTCGCACTCGCCGACTGTATAAGTATGATCTGGTTACATTGGTGGACGGTTCGTCATAACTCGTAACATTTTGTCCTTCTCCTTTTTTACCATAATTATTATATTGCATAGTGCAGGCAGGCATAGTGGGATGGTCTAAGACCATGATTGAGAAACAGAGGGTACCAGGTTCAAGTCCTGCTTGGAAGCGGAAGGATTTTTTCCAGCCGTGCTGCGACCCACAGTTAATTGGGAACTCGTGGCCTGGCACGAGGAAAACATGGATGCAGTGAATGGGATTTTCGGTCTTTGACCACTTGCTGGTGAGCTGATCTACTCACCTCCCACCGCTTTAGGAGCTGCATCTGCGCCTTGATCCTTGAAGGGTGGTGGCGTTCCTACGGATGCGGAAAACCCGGCTTCCAGCCGAGTCTCACGCGAACCGTGAAATTTTTTTATATTGCAAGTTGCAGCGAAGAGACCACTTGAATTGAGAATGGTGTGTAGGGTCCAGCGGATAATGCCGGCATTATATTCGGCACTATAAGACTATTATGAGCATCAGAAAGGAACAAAACGAGCATTATGTGAAGTTTACAATATCGGGAAATCCCTGGTTTTTGGCAACAATCGGCTACAGTGATGATCATGAGGTGCAACCTGAAGTCATGCATTGTACCGGCACATGACTTTGTGATTGTGTAGACACGTAACACCGTTAGCACTAATGCTACATAATTATACATGCTTTTAGTTTGATAGTATATGACAAGGTAGTGGAACACCGTGTTCGGAAACAGAGTGCCGTACTACAACCATCCACGGTTGGTAGAGCCCCGGTCTTGCGACCATCTGAACCGTATGGGTATTAGACCCGGTTCTGATCCTCATTACACTAGGGGAGTTAGCAGGGAGTGTCTAGGGGAGTTAGTAGGGAGTGTCGCGTTTGTTTTGAATTTATCTCTTTCCTTTAACAGTAGGTACATGTATATTCTTTCCTTTCTTTTTGTCAACTTCTTCCCATTTGTACCAAACTAAAGTGTTTTTCTCTCTGAATGTTCGGGGTGGCAGACCTCGACCAAAACGAAACTTAGTACATGACAAGCCTGCTGGTGGAGTGATCTAACGAAAGATTTCGTGAACGAAAATGTGTACTTATACAGTATTTTAATCTTCAACTAGGAAATAATTAGTTACCCCAAATTCATCATATTCAGCAAAACTAATCTAGTACTTTTCCACAAATTCTCGAATATCCGATCGCCTTCTAACCGTTACTACTAGAATCTTATAATTGCCCCAATTTCAGCAACCATGATTACTAGCTATGTCGGTATTAGGTACCCTTAGCAAAAAAACCGCTAACGCTATTTTCGAAGCTATCTACTCCGGACCAGGGAAATGAAGATAAAGTTCTGCGTTGAAACCTTATTTGGTCGAAAATAGCGTGAGGCTTGACGATATCTGGTTTATCAGCATTTTACTGGATGCGTGAGTTTTGACAGGTTTTTGACGGGATCCTGGGATAATTTTGTACTGCCGCGGAAGTTCAAACGCGTGTGTGGACGAAAGGCCTCTTCCTCTTTCACTTTGCTTTCACTTTGCTTGTTGTCGCGTCAAGCTAGACTAGCTCTCTGCCATCATGAGTGACCTCGTTTTTTTGCCAGGTTCCCCGGCGGAACGGCCTGCTGTTGCTCAGCACCACTCGCCAGCCAGTTCATCGTCTTCTGCCTCCAGCACCGGAGAGGTAACAACGCCAACGCCAGAACTCGCTTCTCGGAGAGAGACGAAATCCGAAAAATACTGCTAGGCAAGAACACTTGTGCACTCGAGAAACTGGAACCGAAAAGAAAATTTGATAAAGGAAGAGACTCAGATCATGGAGAGCCAAGGTTTAATTTATACAAAAGAGAAAGACCAAGGAACTACCAGTTACGCTATACTGTCCACTAACACCACCAGTTACTAAACAAACAGCTCATGCGATAACATTGCACGACACTGACCGACGGTACTCCAAGATGTGCTAGAGCTGTTAGCCAGTTAGTTGTAGAACGTCAGTACCGTCGGTCAGTGTCGTGCAATGTTATCGCATGAGCTGATTGTTTAGTAACTGGTGGTGTTAGTGGACAGTATAGCGTAACTTGTAGTTCCTTGGTCTTTCTCTTTTGTATAAGGTAAAGAAAGACTTCACTTTTTTGAGATCTCTCAGAAAGCTAAAGGAGAGGAGAGAAACAATTTTGTTTGAAAAATTAAAAAATTTCGCATCGTGCCAGGCTGGCAAGGACTGGCAAGGACTGTTGCCATATCCACCATGGCAACGGTTCACATTGAAGTAGCGTCAGATTGCTAACGCATAAAGTCCATTTGACGCAAAATGCAACGTTCACTTTTACCGTTAGCGTTACCGTCTCAATGCTAAGGGTACCACCTATTACCCCTTTCCCAAAGATGCTCGCCACTTTTTTCGCCACTTTTTGAAGTACTAGTACATGTACGTACATCATCATCATGTACATTGTACGTGTACATGTATGTGGCAGCATTGAGCATGCCGCTATGTCCTGAATGCTGTGCGAAGGTACAACAAAAAGGACAGTGACTCAAATCTGTTCATTTTGAATTTCCTATAGCTAATGTTTTACTCTGTGAACATATGCCAGTCCATAATACTTGCATTGTGTTGTCTATTTCCGCTCCATTTTTGGTTAATTTTGGCATCATAATGCACAAAGAACTCGCTGGTTTTGAGTTGCGATATCAGCAACTTTTGAACTTTTTCTGAAAAATTGATATGGATGCGATTTCAGCAAATTTCACTTGTTTTGGCACCGTTTCAAAAAGCATAAAGTTGCGAATTTTTTGGCATCTTTGGGAAAGGGCTAGTCGGTATAAACTATGATCCCAAGAAAGGCCAACAAAATACCACGAACCTACAAAAAAGGCTAACAAGCTGCAGCTACGTCTTACCTCTGATGTCAACTGGCGCCACAAAAAGTCGAACTACGCTCAGCCCTGACCTCTGCTCACTCTCAGTGCACTATGCCTGGAACAGTGCTCCCACTACAATCCTACTCCTGTCAGAACCCCGGTCTTATTAAATACAAGTACCTGAACCTGCAAGTATTGTACTACTCCCTGACCAGAAAAATTGTGAAAACTGTCCCGTATCCCGTATCTCGCTCCGAAACTGTCCCCGTACCGTATCACTAGAATTGGTGTTTCCCGTATTTGTACTCATAGTTGTACCAAGAGTTTTATCTACTCTTGGTTGTACTCATCCCATACATTAAAAAAAAAAGGTCTTGGCCTGTCCAGGGGATGTCCCCGTCTGAAACACGTCACACAAAGGATACACACCTCGATCGCAACACGTCACTTGTCCCAACCAGCCGACGGCATGCCCAGTATTATTATTATTTTTATTTTTAATATAATATTATTATGGTTTATTATGCACTATTATGAGATGAAATAAAACAGGAAAGGGCACAGGCCCGGATAAGTGCAAGGGATAGCAATCAACCTTGCACATGAATTGAGCATGTGTTCTAAATACATGTAAATGTAAATGCAAAACAATAAAAAACAAAAACACAAACAATGAGCAATAACTTCAGGACTGGGCACAAGTCCTAAACCAGTAAAAGGTGCAAGAGATAATAATCAACCTTGCGAGTTCGAGTCAAAGCATGCGGACTCACAACAAATTGGCATCAACGTGAGCAAAGAGGAAGAAGAGAAAGGAAACAGCAAAACAAAAAGCAAAGACGGAGGTTAAACGGCAACAGAACCAAAACTGGCAAACAAACCTGTGACATCATCATGCACAGACACAAAAGACAAATTGAACCGAGTCAAACTGGCATGAGCGACTCATGCTGCAGGACATCGCTGGGGTGATGGCTGAAATTCACCTTCCTCAAACTACCACGCAACATCATGACGGAGTCACGGACTAGAGTGAAGCCTAGCTCACAGCGGATCCGTCCCATGAGGACGCTGTACGAGTCTCCGGTTGCCGCTGCCAGGCGAATGGCGAGACGTTTCAACACATTCCGGGCCTCACCGCCAGCTCCCCCGACAGAGGAGAACACCAATGGAGAGAAGCTGCCCCTCTCCACCCGCCAGATCCGCTCACCATAAGCCGCTTTCTTCTGCTCCTCATGCCATCTGTAGGTCGCAGAGAGGGACTTAGTCATGTAAGAGGACGCGAAGGGATAGAAAACCCTTATGTCAAAAAAATGCATCCTTTTGCATGGACCAGAGGCCCCTCCCCTTGACGTCCAGTCTGGCCTGAGGGTCAGCATTCTGGTGATACCCAAAGTGGGGGCCAAGATCTGTGAGTAAGTCCCACCAGTGGCGCACAGCACGCAATTTACCACCTGCTGCAGAATCGTCAGCATACCATATCTGGTGAAAACGACTCGTAGAGGCATCCAGAGCAGCCAACAGCGGAATGAGGGTCACGGCATAGATTGGCATGGCCAGAGGATCCCCCTGTGTAGTGCCCTCCAGAGACAAGACCACCTCACCATGCACAAACAACTTAGCTGCTCTGCGGTAGAAGTTGGTAACAGCGACAGAGGCAGCAGGGCATATGATGCGGATGTTGTGGAGCATCACTTGCCGGTTGAGTGCATTAAATGCGTTAGACGCATCGACGAGGAGAATTCCTTGACAGTCATCATTGCGGTAGAGGTCCGCCATGGCATGGATTGCGGCTTCTGCACCTGCCTCCTGGCCAGCACACACTTGGAGAGCACCAGCACTTTCCCGGATGTCTTGCTTGATGACGGCAAGAATGTCGGGTGTGTGTGGTGGGGGTGGTGGGGGGGGGGGGGGGTGGTGGGTAGGGGTGTGGTGTGTGTGTGTATGGGGGGGGGGGAATGGGGTGGGGTGGGAGTATTATTATTATTATTATTATTGCAATTTCAAATTTGGACTTCACGGAGAATTTCAAAGTTTTCGGAAATTTATATAGAGGCCACATGCCACGTACTGCTCTTTTCTCTCCGAAACTCAACACTTGCAAGCCAGATATGAAAGAAAGAAAAAAATCATCAGTCACACCACCGGGACTAGGGTTCCCAGTAAAAAGGCAACGCCTGTTGGGACTCCCCTAGTAAAATAATAAAATCTACGAGCGTACTACTACTACTAATCTACTACTCGAACCAGGGACCTTGCTATTCGCGAGCAATGCTCTAACCAACTGAGCTACAGTATGACTCTTATCCACAGTGATGCACGGTTAATCTATCCTTGCGAATGGCAAGGTCCCTGGTTCGAGTCCCGGTCGTGTGACTGATGATTTTTTCTTTCTTTCATATCTGGCTTGCAAGTGTTGAGTTTCGGAGAGAAAAGAGCAGTACGTGGCATGTGGCCTCTAGTTTCCTAAAATTATTATTATTATTATCATTAATCTACGTGGAGATAAAAGTTTAATAATAGCTATGAAAAGTATGAATGCCGCAGACATCACCACGCAACATGACAATTTGTTCAAGGTTTTATTTTGTGTGTTTCCAAAATCGATTTTCACGCTCCGATCATCAGCTTTTTCCCTTGATCTCTTTAGTTCCGTATTTCCACTGATGATCGGAGCGTGAAAATCGATTTTGGAAACACACAAAACAAAACCTTGAACTAATTGTCATGTTGCGTGGTGATGTCTGCGGCATTCATACTTTTCATAGCTATTATTATTATCATTCAGTTTCTTTGGTTGTATCCTTAGTTCCGTATTTTTTCCCACTGATGATAGGAACAAGAAAATCGATTCTGGGTTTTCAATAATATTTTTGTTATAAAATACAAGGTAAATACATGTCAAACAAGTAACGTAGTTGCGTGATGTCTGCGGCCTTCATCCTATTCATGCAGTCGTATTTATTCAGCTTTTATTTCTTGTGTACTTGCATACTGGTATTAGTTTAGTCCCACAATCTGCGATATAGGCCTTGACGGATTATGCTAATATTTTCGTGAAATTATGCTTTTCGCATTGCTGAAAAAATCGCAGAATTATGCTATTTTTATGCTAAAAGTTATCATATTATGCCGCATTATGCTCACGTGTTATTATGCTGCTGATGATGGTTCTGTGCAAAATACCAGGGGAATTGTTTTGTTGAGGGCGTTGTACTGTAGTAGCAAAAGTTCAATGGGGTCACCGCACCGTCCGGACGCGTCCGACCTAGCTACAACCGTCACTGATTGTAGTGGACTGGACATGTTATCAAGGGAGTCGTAAACCTACGACTTCCTGGTGCATCTACTTCTACTTGTACTTGTAGAACATGTACAACTGTATGGAATTTGATGCGAACAGGCGGATTATTCCAATTTATGCGATTCATATGCAATTTGCCTCGAATTATGCGATTATTCGATTTTGGTAGAAATTATGCGAAAAATTATGCTAGCATAATCCGTCAAGGCCTACTGCGATAAAATGATCAGCTGTAGCACCTACTCCACTTTTATGTTTATGTATCTATGTCATTCGGATCTTCCCAAGTTGTACAATGTACTGTTGAGATACCGAATTCAAATAAATCAATACCATACCATACCAATACCATACCATATTCATAGCTATATTAAAATTATTATCTCCACGTAGATTATTTGTATTATTATTATGTCAATATCTCTATTATTAGAACGAGGTCTGTCTCGTTGGCCAGGAGATGACCAATCAGTGACGGTCCCACCAAGGGCCTTATCAGAGTTTAGAGCCTGCTCAATCGTAATTTTACTACTCTTTGATGACGCGTCGAGGGCCTTGGATTAGCTTATAGAGCCCGCTGAATATACTCTAAACAGGTGTGTACAACTTCCAGTACCCATTATAGTACGGTGCAGATAATGATCTCTGCAAAAAATGTACGGTGTACTACTGAAAGCTACGCATTTCAGAAGTGTGTACGGTGTTCGCCTCCCGTACTCTTTCACCTAGATGTACGATTTTCCTTTGTCAACAGCTGGCGGAACCTAGGAGTGGAGACCCTGCCATCAGTATGTGTGGCACGTGTTGTGAGCTGCCTTTGGAATGAAAAACTTGTCAGTGCCTTCTAGGTTCAGCCCGGTCCCATAGCTCAGTGGTTAGAGCATTGCTCATGACAAGCAAGGTCCCGGGTTCGAGTCCTGGTGGGTCTGGCGTTTTTTCTCTTTTCAGGCAGTTCACTTCCCCTACTGTTCCATTGAATTTGAAGTTCTCCCAATCCTTTCATAAATTTATCACTCTCTTTCACTTCTGGTAGGGTCCAGAAACTGACCGTGGTTGGTCCCCTGGGGGAGAGAGAAAGACCCAAGTGCCATCAGTATGTGTGGCACGTGTTGTGAGCTGCCTTTGGAGTGAAAAACTTGTCAGCGCCTTCTAGGTTCAGCCCGGTCCCATAGCTCAGTGGTTAGAGCATTGCTCATGACAAGCAAGGTCCCGGGTTCGAGTCCTGGTGGGTCTGGCGTTTTTTCTCTTTTCAGGCAGTTTACTTCCCCTACTATTCCATTGAATTTGAAGTTCTCCCAATCCTTTTATAAATTTATCACTCTCTTTCACTTCTGGTAGGGTCCAGAAACTGACCGTGGTTGGTCCCCTGGGGGAGGGAGAAAGACCCAAGTGCCATCAGTATGCGTAGCACGTGTTGTGAGCTGCCTTTGGAGTGAAAAAACTTGTCAGCGCCTTCTATGTTCAGCCCGGTCCCATAGCTCAGTGGTTAGAGCATTGCTCATGACAAGCAAGGTCCCGGGTTCGAGTCCTGGTGGGTCTGGCGTTTTTTTCTCTTTTCAGGCAGTTCACTTCCCCTACTGTTCCATTGAATTTGAAGTTCTCCCAATCCTTTCATAAATTTATCACTCTCTTTCACTTCTGGTAGGGTCCAGAAACTGACCGTGGTTGGTCCTGTAACAGTTCCCTGTTAGCGCTAACCTTATCTGCCCTCTAGCTCTGTATCTTGCCCCTTTCCCTATCCTGTCAGCACTCGCGTTATCACCTTAGGGCACGAAGTGCCCTATATCAGTTGTGTTGCCTTGAGCAAGCATTGTCTTTTCC